GTTTATACACTATAAACAATACTACCTCTGATCCTTAATATAAGATTTTGTTTAATTTTTATTTTAGTTCTAAATATAAAACCCCAATACATTTTGTCTCTTATATTTATGTATTTTTTTTTAAAATTGTCCTTCTAATAATAGTAGTTCTAACTAATATAGTTGATTAGCAATGATATTTTAGAAAAGATATCATCTATTTATTATAAATAACTAACTTAACTTATTTCTTTAATCTTATTAAATTAGTCAACTAAATCTTATAATCCGATAATTGGGATCCGAAGTAGTGTGATTATTGAATACGTACGCCGGGCAAAATTTTAGGATTCATACATGCTAATGCAATTTTTTTTAAAGAAATATATGATATAAAAAGTATAAATAAATAGTACAGTTCATGAATCACAGCCCAGTGAAATGGGAAATCGTGGTGTTTTAATCTAACGGTGGTGAAGAAAGAAGGAGTGGAAAGCAGAGAAGGGGGGAAGACGGTGTTAATCACCTGAGTAAGTTGCAGGCGAGGGGCTGCCATCTGTAATGGGTGTAAATCCGGTCAGGGCGGCCGTTCCTCTGGCAGCTGAACTCGTGCCGCACAAACTGACACCTGGACTCCTCATATAACGGATACGATTCGTCCCTCACCCAGTGCCCCGAAAACAGGTCGCACCTCCCTCCGACCCGACCCGAATACCCTTCCCCATTCCCAGCCCCAGCCAGAACCAGAACAACCAGAAGCACAACCAAAGAAGTGGAAGACGACGGCGGCAAACTGTAGCGAAGCCGCGTAACCATTATTTCTGAAACGCACCGTACTCTCTCTCTCTCTCTCTCTAACCTCTGCCTCGAAAAGAAAGAGAGAGAATGTTATGGCAATGAAGCCGAAGAAGAAGGAGAGATGTGTGTGTGTTGTGCGTCTCTGTGCTTGGCGGCATTTCAGAGCGAAGGCTTTGGTCTGATATTTATAGAGGAGGAGTGGTGGTGCCTGCATGGTCCTTTTTCTGCCGAACTTTTGTTTTTTAATTTTTGGCGAACTTTTTTATTTAATTTTCTGATTCAATGAGCTTTTTTTTCCCCTCACAATGGTTGGACTGTATTTATTTGTCCCAATGTGAAAATTCACATTGTAACTCCTTTTTTGTTATATGGCTCGGGATCTTAAGCCATGCCCCAAATATTTTTTGTTGACTAAAAAATTTAGGTGAGCTAGTTTTGGTGACTCATCAATGTCAGGATATATCATAAAACGTTTAACAGACGTATTTACAGATCACTCACTAGTAAGGTTTTCATATTAGCTAAAGGATTCGAATTCACAGTCTTATAAATTATGAGCTAACTCCTCATCAATTTAATCAACTCTTGTTTGCGGGGCACCAAATTTATAGTTTTCTTAAATATCCTTATTATCATGCATATTAAAAGAGTTATTACAGTTTCTAATACAAATAATTAGAAAATTATTTAAAAAGCTACTCGCATAATTTTAACAAATAAACTAACTTAATTAATATTTTTTAATTTTTATAAAATTAATTATTTAATTTTTATATACTTGGATTCAGAAGAAATGCTAAATGGAATCATTTCTATTTTGGTTCTCTTTTTTTCTGCATTGACAAAAGTGACAATTTTAAGATATAGGATTCCTTTAATTTATTCCTGAGTGCTTATAAATTAATCAATCTAGAGACTTGGTTCAGGCTAAATTGAAGGGAAATTATATCATGCTTTGAAATTTTTTTTAAAAAAAACAAAAAAGAAAATTGACTGACTTCGACTTGGCTTTGGAAAGAGTCTTGGTTGCCTGAAGACTCACACTACTACGCGGCAACGGTTTTGGAAGAAGTGGTGGGAGGACAAAAAAAAAAAACAAAGAAAAAGAACAGTGACATTTTGAAATTTTAGTGCACAAAACTTGAAATTTAAGTTGAGTTATTTATATTTTGATTAAGTCAAGTTTTTTAATTATACTTGTTACTTCACTATTATCAATTGTTAAAATGTGTCTGTGTACTTATAAATTTATCTATCAATATTTGTAATTTTTTTTATGCCAGCTCTTATGATAAAAATAAGGGTTTGAACATGGATATAAATACTTATTATTTTGTTATTGTTAATTATTAAAATACGTGTGTGCACTTATAAATTCACTCATAAATTTAACCTAATGAGAATATAAATAACTTAACCTAAGTTTTGTCTGTTTAAACTTATTTATGATCTCTAATTCTTAATATAAAATCATAATAATTGACGTGAAAAACCCTCCCATTGAACATCCTTGTCAATCAAAGCAATAGCAGATACGCTACGATCTTCGTTTTTTGGAAGAAATTATCGTAACATTTGGTTTCTCCAGCGTCGTTTAATTTGGATTAAATGTTATTTGACTTAGACAATAGAAATGGGTGGAATCTCCACCATAAACAAAACCCTAATAATCATAATTGGGGGGCTAATACTTGTATGATCACATACTTGATGTGTAATAATTAATTACTAATTAGGAAACATAAGATGGAAGAAGGGAGATAGAAGCCTTATATTTGAATAATTGAAGAATCTTAATTGTTAAATATATCTCCAACATCATATAAACGAGTAATGATTAATGTTATTTAATAAACAAAATTACAGTATAATAATAATCCCTAAACCAAGTAAAACGAACATATAAAGATAGAAGTTTCCTTTCCCCTTCTGTTTCACTAATCTATGCCACGTATAGAATGCTATGTTTAATATAAAAGTTAGAGAAAATTAGTTAAATTAGTTGTTTATAATAAATGAATGTTGTCTTTCTTAAAATATCCTCATTAGTCATATGTATTTAACAACCTATTGATGAAAACTCATTAACATACGCAAGGGATTAATGGGGAGCTAAATAGATAAAAGCTACATTCGATTCTATTTATAAGACTTCATTTGTAGATCACAAATGACGTCTCATAATTAGAATTGGAGGTAGTATTAGAGATAAAATAAATTAGAGTCTTATACTTTGACTTTATATAGTAGTGTCACATGTAGAGCCGCCATAGATAATTGATTGGCCACCAGCCACTAAATCACTGATAAGGGATTATCATAATGGTAGAATTTGAGCATACAACTCCTGAAATCCCAAAAATTTATATAGCCACTACTAGACCTGAGACTCATTTGTTATAAGTAAATATATAAACTTAGTTTTTTAAAAAAAAAATTTAACAAATTAAATGCAGACAAACAAAAGAAGTTTTTAACAAATAATTATAATTGTCAAGTGCAACACATTTTCTTATACTAAAGTTGTCAATTCTTTGTATAAAAAAAATGTCAATTCTGATAAGATTATATAGTTGTTAATGAAAGATTAACAGCTCTAGTAGTTTATCTTTTGTCAATTAAAATCAACTACTTTAGTATAAAAAAACTGATTAAAAAAATATTTCCACCTTTTCTCTTTCAAATCGCTAGTAAATTTCACAAAATTAGTTTTTAATGAAATTATTGATAGTGAAAAATGACAGTGAAGTTCAGGTCTATTTTGAGCTTGTTTGAAGTTCTGTTTAAAAAAAACTTTTAAACAAATTCACGTAAGCCGAAACAAAACTTTCCTCGTATACTTATCTTATATTCCTTAAATGACGTTTAAAAAACTACTTGTAAGTCAATCCAAACCAGTCTTTTGTTCCTCCAATTTTATCGGATGTCCCCGGAGGGAATATTTTGTTCTTCCAATTATTTTACACGCGACCTAATTTTTTTTTTTTGGGAAAAAAATTATTTTGGGTGAAGATCCAACCACCTTCGTTATGAATAAGTGGGAATTGGGAATGAGAAGGCAATGATTGGGTACGTGGAGGTGCATGGTAGGGAGGAGACATCATGGACTGGAGCAGAGAGGGTGTTTGTTGGCGAAGAAGTGAATGGAGTGGGGCCTGTTTGGTTACGAAGATTACCAAATTCCGTTGTGATTGAACTTCGGCGGATCACTCCTACTTTTTAGGTTGCGTGATCCCTCACGACGACGCTTCCCAGCTGTCGTTTTCATTATCTTCCCAATCCACGTTCCACAAGAGCTATATTTGATTATTATCCTCACTCAATATTCTACTTTTTTTTTTTTAACCAGCAACAATATTCTACATTTGTATATATTTAGAAATAAAGTAACACATTATAATTACACGTCAAAGCTATGTCTTATTTTTCTATCCATTATTTTTTTTTTGCAAATGCATTGATACATTACGCATTGTAATATATATATTAAAGAATGTGATTCTTATTGGTAAAATGAGTTTTTCTTTTTTGGAGATTTCAACAAAAAGTTGAAACTTAAAAGAGAGAAAGAGATGGAGAGGTGGCTCATCCCTATCAGGCGGGTCCAATATATAGGTGGGTCACATTTGTCTCTTTCACTTCCCCTAATTTCTGGATGAAGTATTTTAGAATTTAGACTCTCAATCAATATTGAATTAGTTGATTTTTGCTTAAATCTTTTTCAGAATTGATGTTTTACTATATTATTAAATATATTAATTTTATACGTTTACTCTTGAAAACCATACATTATTTTAAAAGAAATCAGTGATTTGTTTCATTTTGAAAATCAATGAATACCCTAATAACAAAAATGAAAAAATTAATTACCTTTTCATTGGGACTGAACTAAGGCTCTTCCAGCTGGCCTTATAAACCCAACTCAACTTGGCCAATTTGAGACGGACCTAAAACCCAGTAATACAGATTACCCTTAAAATTATGGACCCTTTGTGACTTGGACTTTTTCTGTTGTTTACTTTTCTATTAGAACAGACATCACTAATTAATGTGGACCAAGAAGTGGACATCTAAGAAACTCTTGATCACATTGGGTTCAATTTGATATATGAGAATTATATATAATCCTCATGCATTATGCTGACTTGTGTTTGGTAGGCAGAGAAAAGGAGTCTACTGTTTTTTTTTTGGCCGAAAATCTAATGTAATTTTGATTAACAGCAAATAAGGCAATCCCCACTGTTATATAACTTTGGTTGTGTAATACAGATTTAAACTGACATGAATTAATGCATGGCCGTCTATATCTTCTATGATTCAACATTTAGACATCTATACCCTTCATTTTTGGCTTTGATAGAGTTGAAAAGATTATTTCACATTTATTTTAACTTTTTCTAGATAAAATACAAAGTTTATTTCATAATTCCTTGATGGCATGCCAAACAAATACTTTGTAATCATTATTTTATTCCATTTAATTCCCTGTGATTCTTCTATCTGAGGTTTCCCCTATTCTTCTATCTGAGACTTTCTTTTCGCGAAGTAGGAAGAATCTAGGCGAACAGGATAGAGATCTCTAGCTGATGTAGATGAAGAAGCGGACATCCCCAAGAGGCTCTTGGAATGAGTTTCAGTCTCATCATTCGCCTGGTTTTCTTCCATCTCTCGGTAATATTGTCTCATTGCCTCTAACTTCATCTTACTTGCTTCCTCACTTTGATCAGAAACGAACTCTGGAACTACAGTTCTTCCTTCAAGCATGCTTAGCACTGAAGACATGGAGGGCCTGGGTGATGAAGATGGATTAGTGCATAGGAGAGCCACATTGATCATCACCATTACCTCCTCCCTGTCAAAATCTGAACCCAACCTTGGATCAACTAGCTCCATTAAATAGCCATTCTCTTTCAAAACATGTGCCTGGTCAGAAAAAAGTGGACAGAACAATGATATTTGCAGAAGGCATTGGTTATAAAGCCAGAGACTTGATTTCAATGACAAGTTGTTGATGTCCATAAGATGCTTTCATGTAGGGAATTCAAGCAGCTTATGCCAAATTTCTGTAATTGTTAGGAACAGCACAAATCCTAGCTAGAAATTATAAAGGATAATCAAATTAACATGAGTACTGAAGAGCGCAAAGATATAAAAAAAGTTACCCAATTAAGAAGATTGAAACAGTCTTCCTTTTGTCGGCGAGAAGCGTTACTCCTTCCACTTACAATTTCCAAAGCAACGATTCCAAAACTATAGACATCTGCTTTGTCAGTTAAATAGCCATGCATTGCATATTCAGGTGCCATGTATCCACTGTAAAATTAAAATGTAACCATTACAGCAACAAAATAAATTGCATGACACTGCTGAATTGGATTCTTATGGGAAAAATATTTATTCCAATTAAAAAAAAAAACTCACATAAGAAACTTACTAGGTCCCAGCAATTCGAGTGCTTATGTGGGTATTTTCCTCTTCATAAAGCTTGGCTAGTCCAAAATCTGATATTTTTGCATTCAGGTCTTTGTCAAGTAGCACATTTGTGGCCTTGATGTCCCGGTGAACAATCTTTAGTCTTGATTCTTCATGGAGGAAAGCCAAACCTCGGGCAAGATCAACACAAATCTTCTGTCTTATTGGCCAGTCCAATTTTAAGCGGCATTCCTCTGGCCCTTCATTTGAGAATATACAAAAATATTTGAAAACATTACAATTTTCGTCACATAGACACAGATATATGTGTGTGTGTGTAGAGAGTATATATAAGTAATTTACCAAACAAGGCACGAGCAAGGCTATTGTTTTCCATGTATTCATATACCAACAACAACTGATCCCCCTCAACACAACAACCATAGAGCTTAACAAGACAAGGGTGTTGCAAAGCAGAGATCATGCCAATCTCATTGATGAACTCGCGGTTTCCTTGGTTTGATTTAGAAGAAAGCTGCTTCACTGCTATCATTGTGCCATCTGATAGAAAGCCCTGCAGTTTGGAGAGCATTGTATATGAAAAGAGTAGTGATAGAATATTGCCAATAATCAAGTCAAGATGTTACTTTGTTCAGGATACCTTGTAAACAGGACCAAATCCTCCTTCTCCAATCTTATTGGATGCATCAAAGTTATCTGTTGCTGCTTTGATTTGGCGCAAGGTAAATAAACCAGTTTGCAGACTTAAGCCCTTTAGCTCTGTGAGTATAAGTAAACAAGCCTGAGAGGTATATTTGTGTTGCAGAATCCACATTATGAACACTTTCGGTAGAACAGGCATTAATTAGTCTTCAATGGATTGATTCCATCCATTATCTATAGAAATATTGCAATATAAAATAGTATTTTCTTTGTCATTACCAATTGCTAATGAGCTTCTTTTTCCAGGTAACCTCTCCACCAGAGTATGCCCAATATCAGGACGACAATACTCACTCCTGCGACCACAATTGCAGCCAAAACTGCTCCAGGGATGTTTCTTGGGGGTTGAAAGTCTGTTTAATAATTATATAAGAGCTACACGTCAGATAATACCAACGAGTTGGCAGCCAAAAGAACAGGTGTTTACAGAGAGTAAGAACACACCAGAAGTTACAGAGATAGCTGAAATTAGAGGACCATAAACTGACTTTTCTGGTATAGCAGTTGTCCCTTTCCCCGCCCAATGGAAGCGAATCTTTAAGGTGCCATTACTCACATTTACAGTAAATTTTTTTATGATTAGCTTACAACTCCCCCTGCTTCATTTACAATATTGAAATCCTTCAGCATTCGCCGTTCCTACAAGATTCCAATCCAATCCAAATTGCTTCAGGATGTTAATGTTCTTAAATAAATTCTGGACATTTCAGAAAAATATAGTAGAAATTGGTTCCACAATTGTTAAGCAGTTTTAGAGAATAGTTACTCTATTGAATGCATATTGAGAATTTACTAAAGTCATGCAGATTAAGGAGAGTTCTCCTCATGCATCAAAAGTTAAAAAATATAAAATATAAAAAATTTTGGTATTGTTTATATTTCATCAAGATCACCATATAATATAAAATTAATAGCAAGTTCCAACTCACAAGCCATGAACCATGTAGCTGATTCTTCAAACTTAGGGTAATAATAGCATAACTAGGGATTGAAGTTTCACTTTTATATACATACAATGATTACCGGGAAAAAGGCTTTTGTTCAATATCAAACACCTGGTTGACAATAGTAAACAAACAATGTAACCATTAATTACCTGAATGTAGACATCAAATACACGCCTTCCAAGGCTTCTATATGTTTGATCATCAGTGAACATTATCTCCACAAAATGGAGACTCACCGTGTACGGTCCATTTCCCAGGCAAAATGCATAATAGGTCAGAGAAATAGGGGAAAGACGTGCATTTCCGTACAGTTTAACAGGGGCACAGGGGAGACTCTTGTTTTGTTCGACATAGATATCCTTTTGTTTGCATCTAAAAAGTGACCAGTATTGCTAATTGCCCAGTTAGTTGCACTCTTTGCAAATCCCTGTGTAACTAGATCCAAATCACCATCATACATTGTACGTCCAATGGCTTCCTGATTACCACCACAATTTATATTGACAGAGTACCAGGCTGGCTCAAGAAGAGACAGAAACATTCAATAAAGAACCAGAACAAATCCACACAATTAGAATTATTCATTCTAAATTTGAAGTACTTTTATATAGAGAAACCAAAAACAGCAGCGAACATGGATGTAGTCCTTTGATATGAAACCAGTGGTGGACTTAGGACTCTAAGTCAGCAGGGGTAATACCTAAATAGATTAGGGTTGGGCCTAATGAAGTCAAAATATTAAAGTCAGTGGGATCAAAAGATCAAAGTTTACATACCAACATTTAATTTTTGCAAAGGTTGCCCCCACTCTCTAACAAGCGGGTCACCTATGCATGAAACTAATGGTCTTAGAATCAGTTGAGATCTCATATAGTTTTTGCATATTTAATCAATAATCATTTAAGCGCTCTACATATCTATGCAACTTAGAAGATACTTGCAATTTCTATAAAAATGATCAGCAGATAAAAGTACTTGAGCGGTAGGATCAGAATCAATATAAAACCCCATTATTTATGAATGTGGCTCTTACCACATCCAACTTCTCAGCAAATAAATTTATGCTTTTTTGGGGGGTGGGGGGGAATCAACTAAAGCGAAGATAGAGCCATAAATATGCTCATGAATCAAAAGACTAAACTCCAGAAAGAAAAGGTTTTCAAGTCAAATTACATTGACAGTCTATAGGAAATGAATGAAAAATCAACTTACTTTTAGAACAAGTGCTTCTCATACAAGTAACAGATCCTCTGAAAGAACGGTGGGGAAGCTGAACAAGTCAGCATAATCGCATAAAAACACTAAAGTTTTAAAGGAGATTAAGAGGAAAAAACAATCTTTATGGTTTTAAAGAAAGACAAACAAAGGCCCCAAAATGTAAAACTTACGAGTCATGGGCCATCAAAGGGTCTCCAAAAGGTTCCTAAGGCGTATAAAAGATGAATAAGACCCAATAATAGCTTTTAAAATTGCATACAATCGCTACAAATGCAAAAATTCTCACACTTTTGGCTGTTCACAATTCTTCTCCCGGCATTTCCACTGTTAAAGTTGTTATATGAAAGATCCCTATGCACAAGGAATAAAATATGATTAAGAATCTAAGAAAACTTGACACAGATTTCATGAAACACTTGCTAACTCAAG